CTGTTCCTGGCTGTCTCCTGAGGCTCTGAGGGAGGGTCTGTTCCTGGCTGTCTCCTAGCTTCTGGTGACTCATGGCGATCGTTGGCTGGTGGCCGCATCTCTCCAGTCCCTGCCTCTATCTTCTCGTGACCGTCTTCCCCCGTGTCTCTTTCTCTGTGTCTGTTCTCTTCTTTCTTAAGGACCGGAGTGCTGTAGGATTAGGACACACCCTACGCCAGCATGGAGCCCTGGTGGTGCAGTGGTGAAGAGCTTGGCTGCTAACCAAAAGGTCAGCAGTTCGAATCCACCATGCGCTCCTTGGAAACCCTATGGGCAGTTCTCCTCTGTCCTCTAGGGTGACTAGGTGTTGGAATCGACATGATGGCAACGGGTTTGTTTGGTTTCTACACCAGCATGACCTCATGTTAACCTTCAAAGGTCCTGTTTCCAAGGAGACCCACGTTCACAGGCTCAGTGGTTAGGACTTCAGCATACATTTTTGGGGGACACAGTTCAACCTGTACCGTTCCCCATAAGCAGCAGTGTCCCCCTCTGTTCCAAAAGCTCCATGAACCCTCGGAGGCCCAGCACAGCGATGCCCTCTCCACATCCAGCGACCTGCTTGACCTCCTGCTGAACGAGGACCTCTGCTCGGCCACGGGCTCGGCCCTGTCGGGGAGTGGGGCCTCTGCCACCTCAGATTCGCTGGGCTCCAGGTCGCTGGGGTGCACCGTGTCCAGAAGTGGGACAGGTATGTGGGCGCCTTCACTCCTGGGTGCTGGGAGAGTGGGCGTGTTCTCGGCTGTGTCATCTTCGGGGGTGGTTGGAAAATTCTCTCATGATATGAGTGGGCGTCCTCAGCTTCCCTGCACCCTGGGGGATGTCAGTGCTCACAGCAGAGCCTCAGGTGTACACAGGTGAGGTGCAGACAGGTGTTGGACCCATGCTGCCACCCCGCGGTCCCCGAGCCCACGGCCGTCCACCGCCGCAGCCACACGCTCTGCCCATGGCCCTCCCCGGCCCGGCTGCAGGTCCTGATCAGTAACGACGTCCTACCTTACCTCCAGGCGTCTTTTGTCAGTGCAGCTACAGGCCTCACACCCCTCGGGCCCCTCGTTGGACCCCCACGGGCTCCCGAGGATGCCCTGAGGAGCCGGAAGCAGTTCCCCTCCCTGTGTTTGTTCCACTTGCGTGAACCTGGGGTGTGGACGTGTGCGAGACTTTACTGCCTGGGGTTTTTATGATAGAAATGCACACAATTGTCTACAAATCGAAGCCCCCCTTCTTACTCCTGGAAACCTCCACTGACGTGCGCTGTCAGTCACCTCCAAGAAGGCACCCCCTGCATGAGGCTCACAGGGGACGCCCTGAGGCCAGCGGGGCTGTGGTCAGAGTGTTTGTCTCGCTCGGCCGCGTAACAAGGTACGGCAGCGCGGGTGGCTGGGAACCACGGAGGTTTATCATCTCAGTTCTGGAGGCTGCGAGTCCGAATTCACGGTGTCAGCAGGGCCAGGCTCTCCTTGAAGGCTCTAGGGGAGGATCCTTTCTTGTCTCTCCCGACTTCTGGCGGCCCCACGTGTTCCCTGGTTTGCAGGGCAGCATAACTGCCTTGTCACACGGCCGTCCTCCCTCTGTCTGTCTGTCTCTCCCTCCTCTTTTATAAGGACACCACTCATATACGTTAGTTTAGGACCCACGCTTCTCCAGCATGAGCTCACGTTAACTCATCACATCAGCAAAGACCCTATTTCCAAACAAGGTCATGTTCACAGGGACCAGGGGTTAGGACTTCAATGTACCTTTTGGGGGGACACCATTCAACCCATTCACTCAGCCCCTGGGTGGTATAAACGGTTAACACACTCGGCTGCTACCCAAAAGTTGGAGGTTTGAGTCTACCCAGAGGTGCCTCAGAAGAAAGTCGTGGAGATCTACTTCTGAAAAATCAGCCATTGAAAACCCAGTGGAGCCCAGTTCTACTCTGACACGTGGGGTCATCGTGAGTCAGAGTCAGCTGGGCAGCAGCTGGTAACTGCTATGCCGCCCATAGCGGTCAGCATGCCCCGACCTAGGAAGCCGCTACTGCACTCCTCAGTGGTCTACACTGAGGCATAAAAGGAGCCCTGGTTGCGCAGTGGTTACAGTGCTCGGCTGCCGACCGAAAGGTCAGCGGTTCCAGCCCACCAGCTGTTCCATGGGAGAAAGATGTGGCAGTCTGCTTGCGTAACGATTACGGCCTGGGAAACCCTGTGGGGCAGTTCTGCTCTGTCCTGTAGGGTCGCTACTAGTCGGAATCGACTTGATGACAATGGGTTTTTGGGCACAAAGGTGACGTTTTCTAAGACCCGGCCCCCACTTGGACTTGGCTTGACCTGGTCTGACTTTCAGTCCCCACCCCGCAGTGGAGAATTGCCTCCGTGGTATACCAGCTAAAATCCTGTTTTAAAATCACCCACATAATTCAAGAACTGGAAAGAGAAGGGAAAAATTCACCACCACAGGCCCTCGTTACCGAATAAAACTCTTCCGCTCCCTCTGAAGCCATAATTGCGTTTCGTAAGCTCGTCACACAGGGCTGGATTCTGTATTACAGAGCGTTGACCCAGCACATTCTGTGTTTTTAAAGGCAGCAGTGACACCAGTCACAGCAGCAAATACTTCGGAAGCATCGACTCCTCAGAGAATAATCCCAAAGTGGAAACAAGCACGCACGTGGGCGAGAGTGAGCACCTCATCAGGCACGTCCTCCAGGACCCCATCTGGGTGTTGATGGCCGACTCGGACAACAGCATCATGATGACGTATCAGACGCCTGCCCGGTAACCCCCTGGTCTTGTCCTACAAACACAGGAAGGGCAGAGTTAAGGAGGTCCCCAAAACAAGGCCACTAGGCAGGGTGGGACGTTCTCTGGAAGCCGTATCTCAGTTTCGTTAAGAGCAGCAGATGGAGAAGCAGGGTCCCCGCCAGATGATCCGCTTGTCTCATGGGCACAGCAGTGCGGGCTGTGCAGACCGTTGCCCTGTCAGAGGGATGGGCCACAGGTCTCCGCCAGGCGCTGGCGCCCCAAGCTTACAAAGCGTTTGTGCAAACGTTGTCTCCTGTGGGGCCATGAGGTGGGAGAGAAGTGTTTTAGGGTCGAGGTGGCGACCAGCCCAGTGCTGCCCTGGGTCTGTACCTGGGCTCTGACTGCACATCAGGCCATTTTAACAGAGAGGACGTGGTCCTGCCCCTGCAGAACGCCCCTCAGTAGGGGAAGCTGGGGGAAAGGAGGGACAATTAACCCCTGAGACTGCAAAAGCCAGGCCTCCGGGCAGGGGACATGGAGCTCATGGTGCCGCCTGGTCCAGCGTTGGCCCAGTGGCAAGAGCAGGATCTCCCAGATTAACAATGCCTGTGCCGAACCAGAGGTCCCTGGAAGGTGCAGACGGTTTGGGCTTGGCTGCTGACCAAAAGGCTGGTGGTTCAAATCCACCCAGCAGCTCCACAGAAGAAGGCCTGGTGATCTGCTTCCATAAAGATTACAGCCAAGAAAACCCTATGGAGCCCTGTCCTACCCTGTAACACGTGGGGTCGCTATGAGTCAGAATCGACTCAGTGGCAACTGGTTTGATTTGGGTTTTTTTTTTTGGTCACTGAACCAAGGAGTCCTTGGGTGGTATAAATGGTTAACACATTCGGCTGCAAACTGAAAAGTTGGAGGTTTGAGTCCACCCAGAGGTGTCTCGGAAGAAAAACCTGGCAATCTACTGCCAAAAAATCAGTCATTGGAAACTCTATGGAGCACAGTTCTAGTCTGACACACCTGGGGTGGCCATGAGTCGGAGTCGACTCAACTGCAACTGGTTGATGCTGAATGAAGCCCGGGGGGTGCGAGGTGCTTCTGCCGACACCCAACTCACAGGTCTAATTTGAAGTAAAATTTCACCCATGATGCAGAGTATCCTTCTAATGGAAAAGCTACAGATGACTCACTGGGGAGATCAAGTTACCTTACTAGGGTAATTTATTTTAAACGAAAAGGAAATTTGCATTGACTAAAATCATCTAAAACTACATTATTAGTATCCAAAGAGTTGGTAAGAAAATAAACCTATTTGTTGACAAACAAACAAAAAAAACTCCTAACGCATTCTGAAGCGTACCTATCTCTAAATATTTCATACAGAGATCTTGCTGAGGTCCTCAAGGAGGACAGAGAGAAGCTGAGACTTCTGCAGAAGCTCCAGCCCCAGTTCACAGAAGCCCAGAAGCAGGAACTTCGTGAAGTCCACCCCTGGGTGCAGACCGGTGGCCTGCCTGCGGCCATGGACGTGCGGGTAAGTGCCCCGAAACTGTCCTCGAAACTCAGCGACTAAAAACAATAAATGTTTCATCGCACATGCGTTTTTCAGGTCCTGCATTTGAGCACAGCTTAGCTGGGTGGTTCTGGCTCAGGGTGTCTCAGGAGATTGACGTCGGATACTGGCCGGGGCTTCTGTCAGCTGAAGGCTTGGAAGGTCAGCTTCCAGGGTGGCTCAGTCACATGCCTGTCACGGCAGTGCTGGCTGTTGGCAGGAGGCCTCAGCTCTGCCCCGTGGGCCTCTCCAGAGGGCTGCTTGGGTGTCTCCCAACATGGTGACGGCTTCCCTTAGAGCGAGTGACCCACGAGAACAGGGCCTTTTATGACCGAGTCTCAGAAGCCACGCACTGTCCCTCCACCACACTCTCCTTGTTAGAAGCAAATGGCTACGTCCCACCATGTGGAAGGGGAGAGCCGTTAGGCTCCCCCTTTTGAGGGAGGAATGTCAAAGAACTTGTGGAAGTATTTAAAAACCACCAGAGTCACCTTCTTTGGCTTTTCTGAAGGTCTCACTTAAAGTTACAAGCGTCCTGCACGCCCCTCCCCGCACACCCCGTCCTGCCTCTGCACTGTTCTCAGTCTACCGCCGACATCTGGGAATTTACTGTGTAGTTTCTGGTTCTGTTTACTCCCCATCTCCCCGCCGAGGGTGTCGGCTTCCCAGGGCAGGGGTTTGTCTGTCTTGTTCACTGCTGGATCCCCAGCAGCTGAGAACCATGACGGGTGCTCGACAGAGAGCCGGGGGATGTGTAAATGAGACAGCTACATTGCGCTTGCCCGTTTTACAGATGAGAAGACTGAGGTTCAGAGCAGGTAGGTTACTTACTCCAGGTCCCAGCAGCAAAAAGGGGTGCTGCTGGGAATGGAGCCTGATCTGCTGGTTTATAGCACACCCTCACTGCACAAAGCTGCTGCCCCAGAAGGGCCCGACTGCCTGGCCTCAGGGGACTCAGGGTACCGGGCCTCTCGACTGCCTGGCCTCGGGGGACTCAGGGTGCCGGGCCTCTCAACTGCCTGGCCTCGGGGGACTCACGGTGCCAGGCCTCTGGACTTCCTGGCCTCGGGGGACTCAGGGTGCTGGCCTTCTCGACTCCCTGGCCTTAGGGGACTCAGGGTGCTGGCCTTCTTTGAAAGCCAGCAGTGGCTGCTCCCAGCGGCAGCAGACCCAGCAGCCCCTCCCATGAGGCTTCCCGGCTCCAGGCCTCTGCCAGCAGCTTCCCTCCTAACAGGCTAACCCTGGTCACCCGTGGCCTTCCCCAGGTTTATGTAACGAAGATCTCGTTTTTGTTACCAATTTCCCATTTTCTTTAAGGAATGTGTTTACTGTGGAAACAAGGGCAAAGGCAACTTTCCTGCACCGCACGAGGAAGATATTCCTGCTCTGGGACTCAGCAAAGCCACAGACGCCAAAGAAGAAAATGGACCCCCCACTGAGTCAGGAAAATGAAGAGCAGACGTAGCCCCTCCTCCGAGCCTCCGAAATGGGCGTCAGAAGAGCTGGGAGGAGAGATACGCACGTTTGATTCTCATGAAATGAACACATGTACTATGTGGCTTTTTTGTTTTAGAAAAAAAGCATTGTTTATCTGAAAGCGTAATTTAAAATGCTGTGGAGGTAGGAGGGATTGGGAAGAAATATGTTTTTATATCTAAAATATAAATACGAAGATTTGAGGGGCCGGGGGAGATTTTAGCCGTTATTTGACTTGAAGAGACTCTGAAACGCCTTTGTAAAATGTCTGGGGAGTTGTCTCAGCTTTCACGGCTGTTCACTGCACCCTGCGTCCACTGACCTCCAGTGGGTTGTCCAGGTGTCAGACCACGTGTGACTAACATTCAGGATGCCACATGTGACTCGGCCTTCCGGAGCTTTCCAGGGTATGTTTGGACTGGGGTCTGTCAGTGTAATGGAAATTCTCAGATCAAATTCTGCCTTCTCTCCGGGGCTGCTTTTTATCTAAATCATCATTTTGTCAGATACCACGTGGAGATAGCAGCCTCTCCCCTTCTCTTTCACGATGCTCTGCATCCAGTGACAGAAGGCATCACCTGGCAAACCAGCGGCTTTGGCTTCAGGGACTGTGGCGGAAACAGTTGGACCTGGCGTGGCTTTTGTGGACAGAGAACAAAGTTGGAGTGCTTGCTCTGAGCAGAGAGGCCTAGTGGTCTGTGCGGCCAGCTCCATCAGATAAGGCACACCCAGACCCCCTGGATAGTTCTGTATCATCCCCGTGTCCATCTCAGCCAGCACAGCCAAGACGTGGTCATTCACCCCTTTAGGGTGACTGCCGTCTGCAAACCAGGCACCTCAGTGAGGTAATTAACTACTGGGCGGCCACATCGGGCTGTTCGTGTTTGTTCTGTTTCTGTCGGCGCCTCATGGACATGGCTGTGACAGAGCGGAGCCCGCTGCTTCTCCCGTGAGCCAGTGCCCCACAGCTTCCGACGGCACCGTGTTTTCGGGGTGCAGTGAGTCCTCCTCTCCCCATCACACCCCCTGGCTGGATACCTGGCCCTCACCTTTTCACAAGGCCGACCTTGCCCAGTGCAGCGGCAGGCCTCTGCCAGCTGACAGCCACCAGCATCCCTGTCACTGTCGGGTCACTCTGACACTTGGGGAGACTGAGGCCAGCGCCCCAGTTTGCTTTTATATTTTCTCTTTGTTTGGCAAAACCTCATCTCGCATCATATATCCTAAAGATTGTTGGTAAAAATATAATAGCAGTCCCTGGTGTCCGTGAGAAGTTATCACTGGCGGAGCAGTTGACTTGAAGCAGGCCAGCCTGCAGATGTTTGAAAGGAAGGAAGCAGTTTTCCTTGTTCTTCGACAGAGAAGCCGCCAGGAGGGAAGGCAGAGAGTCTCCTTCTAAACCACTGGCTTTTCGTAGTCAAACCATTTGATGTCTGAATTTCCACCCCATTGTTCGTAAACTCAAACACAAGAACACTGCTTTTTTTTTTTTTTTTTTAAACAAAGTAACATCACCTCCGATACCCAAGATGTGGTAGCAGCGTGTGCACTTCTGTGGAAATTAGACGCTATGAACCCTTTCCTGCCTCTAAAGCCAGGCAATCACCGTAACATTAGCTATAAACTGCCAGAAGGTTCTCCCTCTACTGCTCTGAGTGTAAGCCCGCAGCACGAGCTCTCTAATTTACAGTCGCTGATTTCTCAACCGCGTAGCTTCAGGGCTTCATAGAAGCATTTTATGAACTTGTTTACATGACGCCAAGCACCGAGGCATCTGTTCCCTTTATTATGTGCACTTACACGGATGTGATATAAACCTTTTCTCAATTTTAAACTGAGCCTTCTTTTTAATATATTTCTAAAAAGAGATGTAAATACGCTCTCAGGAGTCGAGGAATGACTCGTTGAGCCGTGATGGACAGGTGGTTTGCTCCTGCGCAGACCGAGCCTTCTGCCTCCGGTGCAATGTGTTCGTTGGACTGTTGGTGTCTTTTTATGACTTTTTGGCCTTTTAGAATATTGGCAAATAAAGCAAGTATATTTTTATTTTTAATTGTATTTTTTTAATGTTGTTGTTAGTTGCTGTCGAGTCGATTCTGACTCATGGCGACCCCATGTGTGCAGAGTAGATCTGCTCCGTAGGGTTTGCGAGACTGTGAACTTTTGGAAGCAGATTGCCAGGCCTGTCTTCTGAGACACCGCTGGGTGGATTTGAACTGCCAGCCTTTCGGCTACTAGTTGAGCGCTTCGCTGTTTGTGCCACCCAAGCAGCACAGAGGCAAACCTGATTAATAGAGATCAAGAATGGTCTGTATTCACAACGAGAACTGTAGAAATTCTGTATTCTGGAATCTTCCACCACAAACGACCCCTCATCTCTTACTCAGTTTCGTACTGTTTGCTTCTTGCTGGTCCCCCTGTTCTCTGTGTGTGTGTGTGTGTGTGTGTGTGTGTGTGTGTGTGTGTGTGTATGTTTGTGTGTGTGTCTTACAACACAGCCAGAATGAGCTTTATAAAATGCAAATCGAATCAAGTAATCACAGCAGTCCATGGTCTTTTCACTTGCAAATGGAGGGGTGTGGTTGCCTGACTCAGCCCCTGGAGCTCCCCTCCACTCTGCGGTGACCCCAGGCACCTACGCTCTTCCCTTCATGTCCCCTTGTGCTTTCGGCTGTGTGGGCTGGCTGCCTAAGTGCGGGCCATGGTGCTGAAGGCAGTGCAGCAAAATCCTCCCACCCACCCCTGCCCCTTCTTTCCACAAACAGTGATGACGTGGGGTGGGGCCTGGCCACGCAGTGGAGGCCTGCTCCCCTCTCCCCTACTTCACAAACCAGGACCCTGAGGTCTGAGCAGGGAGGTGGACAGATCCTGGACCCTGTGCCAGCCTCCCAGAAGCACCCCTGCAAGGTAGTGGGGGGTAGGGGGCAGCAGGGGGGCACTACTCTCTGCTTCCTGGCCTGACCGTCTAAATCCAACTGCTGAGTGGGCTAAAAGGCAAACTCCTCTGAGCTGGAAGTCTCTGCAAACTGGCCCTAAGTGGCCAAATGTGGCTGTTTATCTCTGAATTTCTGAGTCCCTTGGGGGACTCTTTTAATTGCATTTTTATTTACCATATAATCCCAGTAGTACCCCCACCCTCCTTTATTCCAAACCAAAAGGAGCTTCTCCGAGCCTCCCGGGCAGATTGCCCACAAGGGGCTGGGACGTCTGCCGGCTGGCTGCTGCCTTTGTTCCCCCGGGATTTATGGGCTGCCACCCCTGCTGCTAACCGGTCCCCCTGTGGCCACCCCAGCCCTGGCCAGCCTCTGCTGGCCTCCATACTAGAGTTGTGGGATCAAAGGGCCCAAACGCTCAGGAAGTCTGTGCTGGAGCAACCTTTAAAGGCAGGCTTCGTCCCAGGACAAACAGCAGGAAGTGGGCCTGCTAGGGGAGGCCTCTCCAGGAAGGGTAGAAGGCCTGGTGGCCCCGAGATGGGTACGCAGGCTTTGAGGAGGAAAAGGCCAAGCCAGCTGGCCAGCAGGAAATGAGGCTGACCATGCACCTTCCAGTCCAGGCCACAACCAAGGATTTGGCTGACTTGCACACCCTGCTTCATCTCCACGTTTCCTTCCTCTTGGTCACACTGAGGCACAACCCCAAGCTTAATCTCTTCCCCTCTCAACTCCAGGCTGCGTTTCCCCAACCTACAATTTGTAAGATAAAGTTCTTGAGGCCCCTGCCCTCCCTCCAGCCTCCTCCGCTCTCCCAACTCCTGTTGCCCGTCCTTTTGTTTTTTCAAGGTCAACTTTGTGTCATGCTCAGTAACCATAATTAAGCCTCCTTTGCCTTCTCTATACCCTGATTCTAAATGTTGAAACCCTGTGAGCAGTGTTACATTGTGACTGTGAAAGGGCTGCTGAGCCAAGTAGAGTGCTAAGATTACATTTCCTTTCTTGTGCGGCTTTCTGTTTTTCCTGGAGTTTGTAATTCCCTTTCATTTTTTGTTTGCCTTTATCATGTCCTCTTCCTCTGTCCCCCAGGCCCTGTTTCCCATCCAATCAGGTGCTTCCACCAGGGCCCTGATCACCCTATTCCAGGTGAACTTTGCCTTTCATGGAGAGCTTCTAAAACACCTGCTTGGCCTTGTTCACTTAAGTAATGGGAGGCGTATGAATTGGTTCTCAAATGGGAGTGCAAAAAATATCACTATGTTTATGTGGGAGGATGTCTAAGTCCTGGTGAAGGAGGGTAAAGCCACAGCCAGCTATGGGTCCACCACTCCAGCCCCCACCCTGCCAACCCCACTAATGGGAGTGGGGGATCCCTTGGGTTTCTGAGCAGCCAGTACAGGGTAGGGGGAAGAGAGCTGGGCTTTTTGGCTTGTAGGGGAGACTGAGGACAACGGGGTGAGTGAAGTAAGGGGGTAAATTCATGCAGGGTGAACCTCAGGAGCAACCAAGAAGCAGAGCAGGGACAGGTGAGAGTCCAGCAGAAAGGGCTCCCAGGTGGTTATCGAAGGCAGTGGAACCTTCAAACCTCTGGTCAAGCTCAGCCTGCTTGAAGCCTGTAGAAGCCTCTCTATCCAAGCCAGATGTGGAAGGGCCACTGGAAGGGACGGATTACCCAATAAACAAGGTACCCATGGGCTTACTTGTGCTTACTAATCTGTAGTCCACAGTTTCACCTGTTCTTCACCTCATCAAAGATGTGGTAAAACGCATGTGAAATTGTGCACTGCAGATTAGTAAGTAGTAAGTAAGCACAATTAAACCCTTGCATATGTGCTAATCCCTCCTGAGTCGTTGGGAGGGCAGCCAGACCCAGGGAGGGGTATCAGGTCCCACCATCCCTGCCCTTTTCTGTTACCCTTTTCCACCGGCTTCCAACTGCCCTCCCAACGCCTCTTCCTCGCCTTCCGTACCCATCCAGAGCTTCGGGGGCGAGGCTCTGTGCTGGGAGCATAGGGGGATGGGGAAGGAGGCCTTAGATCAGACCGTGCCCTTGACCAGGGATGCTCACAGCCTGGGAGGCGCTGACCAGGGCCTGACAATCCCAGCCCCGAGTGGGTAGTTCTGACCGGATGAGAGGCCCCCTACCACCGCGGCGGTGAGAGGGACGTGCAGTCCTGAACCGTTAGGAGATGCCCTTCGAAGGGGGTCGAGGCATGTTGGAGGCGGGAGGCGCGGCGCGTGCAGAGGCCTGGCGGCGAGAAGGGTACTCGCGTCCCGACTCCGCACCGAGGCCCGAGGGCGAGGGGCGGCCGGGGTCCCGGGACGCTGCCAGAGGCGTGGCCCGCCCGCCGTCCCGCGTCAACGCACTAGCCGGGCAGGGCCGAGCGGCAGATGGGCGGCCCAGGCGGGGGTCGGGCGTCTGGCGGACACAAACGCTCCCGCCGCCGCCCGCGCGGGACAAAGCCGGCCTGGGACAAAGGCGCGGCCAACACCTGTCGCTCTTGGCGCGGCCACCGCTTCTCTCCGCCGAGGCGGCTGCAGCTGCCAACTGTCACGGGCATCAAGTTACCGCGGGGCCAGACGGCGGCCCCCGGGGCCCGGCGGGAGGGAGCTGGTGGGGGGTCGGGGGGGGGAACAAGGGGCCGAGGAGGCGGCGGCGGGGGAGAGGGGGACCCAGGGGGCGGAGAGCCGAGGGGGACCGGGTGCCAAGGGGGGCCGGGTGCCAAGGGGGGCAGGGCTCGGGGGACCCGGGGAGCGGGGGACGCAGGAGCCGGGAACCAGGGAAGGCGCGCCGGGAGGAGCCGCGACGCGGACCGGGCAGAGGGTGGCCAAGGGGAATCGAGTCCGGGATCGGGACCCTGGAGTCCGCGGGAAACGGATGGAACGCGAGGCCGCCCCACCCTCGCTTCCCATCGCCCCGCGCCCCCGGGCTCCGCAGCCACCCAGGCCGGGACCTGAAGCCCTTCCAGATCCGGAGACCGCGGGCTTGACTGTGGCTCGGTCCCCGGGACCCCGGACCCTGGGACTCCGGCTCAGAGCGCTCCTCTCTCGGAAAGAGCGAGAGAAACAGTGGATGAATGAATGAAGGAGCGAATAAATGAATGGCCCACGAATGACTGCGCCCCTGCTCACACGCACGGCAGACGGGAGAGTCCGTGCTCAGGGGATGGGGAGACCAGTGCCCTCCGGGTTCAGCTCCCGGGTCGCGGCTCCTCTGGTGCTGAACCCGGAGGGGTCGCGCCAAGGCCGGGTGGGCGCGCCCGCGGCC